CACTTCTCCTAAAATTGGACTGCCCCAAAACAAATCTTGAGTGCTGTCAGTACAGAAGCACATCTAGATATACACTCTCGCTGTCCAGATGTGGTTAAAAGAACATCAGCAAGGCAGTCAGTGACAATATAAAAAGAGAGAAGAAACATCAGGATTCCAAAGGGACAGAAACTCATTTATACCCAGTCCCCTCAGGTCTAGCTCTAGCTCTGGAGGATCACCTTCCGAAAGCAGTGTAAGGGTAACTGATATGCTTCATATAATAGATAATAAACTCAAATCAACCAGGCCCACCATAGTATTATCGCCTAGGAATGTTACCGTTTTTCTCCCTCACTAAAGTCATCTAAAAAAAAAAACAAACCAAAAGCCCAACCCCCCCACTCCCCATCCACCATATTACCATCCCAAAAGAAATAAAAGTCCATCTTGGACTGATAAAGTTCAAACCAAGCAGTGAACTCACTCTGGTTCGAAGGGCATGAGAGCCCACATTTACCCATCAGTCCCACCCACAGCCAGGGTTGCTTCCTTCCTTTCTAACCAATAGCTTGGACAAAATAACTGCTGTGTCCTTCTGAGTACAGAGATACAATAACATGCCCTTTTCTACTGGCTGCTGCAGCTCTTGCAATCCATCCCAGTCGGTGTTGGTCAAGTGTATGGTTGTGAAAACCCCTGGACTGGAGGCATCTTCCTTGTTGCTTTACTTATCTCCTCCCCACTTATTTGTTTACATGCTGCAATTGGATCGACAGTGGGGATGTTTGCAGGTAAGAAATATTTACCAAAGTCATTTTTTGACTAGGTTATCTTGATGCTAGCCATTATATGACTCTGCCCAAACTTTACAGTTGCATGGGCTTGGACGTACTTGGGAAAACGCTCCCATTTTTGAAACCGTCTCTAAATTTGGAAGATCTTACTGAAGGTCACACAGTATGGTGAAGGCAAGAACAGAAGCAGATTTTCTTTAAGCTTTCAATTTGTTATTAGATTTGTAACTCAGGCAGGTGGTTTGTTCCACCTTGCTTAACCCTCCTGCCATTGGATGTGACAAATCCCACAGAGATGATGATAAAGAAACATAGAGAAATAGTTTCAGAACTGATCTCTTGCCACCACAAGTGTTTTAAATTACCACCACATGCAGATGTCTACCTCAGAGCTGATCATTCAATGAAAAGAAACAAACTTTTCTAGGATGAAGTTCATTCTATCCTGCTGCAGATTTGTAAAAAAAGCTAAATGAATGTCACTCAAAATGGCCTGTCTCTCCACTAACCAGAGAAACAATCTTAAGAGAGATGAATCTGACCCTTGAAGTAATGACAAGATTAATGCCACTTATGTGACTGATTGTAATAAAAAAACTATGATGGAATAAGTGTAGTCTGAGACAACAACCTTGGAAAAGGCACAGTCATCCAACAATAAGTGCCCTATGCTCTCAAGCACTTTGTACAAGATGTGAGCTGCCTTATATTTGTTTTTTTAAACAAAACTACCCACGATTTGTATGGTTAAGAGCATTTTGCAAGTTTTGTACAGGTCTGACATTTAATCTGGAAGAGAAAGGTCAGCAGAAAGTATCTGGGGATAAGGATGACGATGAAACAGAAGACAGATGAGGACATTATAGCAGGAAATGTATTAATCTTAAGAGTGACATGAAGGTGGCCTGTGCATTACATACTGCACTCTTCTTTTTACTGGTACTCCTGAAGCCTTTGAGAAATCCTGCAGAAGTACCTGTGAGGTCAGGTTTGGAGCAGACCCTCAGCTCCCAACCCAGTGGAGAATTTCCACAGCAATGATGGAGTGACCACACCTAGTATCTAGACCACATCTAGCAAAGGTCACTAGGAAGAGATGGAAAACCCTGCTTACTCCCACAAAAGACACTCAGCTGTGCATCAGATATTCAAGATCAGGGTATGCATGAGGTTTAAACAGTACATGGGAGCACAGCTTTCTGCAAGAAGGACACCCAGGTGAGAAGGTCCTCCTACACTCTGGCTGGATCCTCCATCTGGTCAACTGGGAGACTAACTACAACACCCTCAGTGCGTACGCAGAAAGTTTTGCCTGAAATAAACCTTTGAGACTGGGCCAAGTTCCAACCCTAGAGACATTATCAGAGCTCCAAAACAATGAGCTTCATTTGATTTCATGCTTTTTCTGCATGTGCATGTTATGCAAGTGTGAGCATGGTTAAATTTGTCTAGATGTCATAGGGAAGAGGCAATGGATTCCCAGCAAGTGACGGGTCCTCCTGCAGATACCTCTCATAACCTGACCTCACAGCCCTGCCTTTTGTCTTGCAGCACTGAGCATTGCATCACCATTTGACAGCATCTACCTTGGCTTACACAATTACAACTGCGCACTCGCATGCATTGCGATTGGGGGCATGTTCTATGCCTTGACCTGGCAGACTCATTTGCTGGCACTTGCCTGTGGTAGGTATCTTTTACATAAAGGGAAGACAAAAATTTAGGCAGCCAGGCAGTCTATGAGTAGTACAGACTGAGAGTCAACATTGGGTTCCCGCTCTGCTGCAAAACTAGGTACTACGCAAGAGCTATTTCTGTGATGGCATCAGAGTTGAGCTTGGATGTGCAAGCTGCAAGTGCAGAGAGAAGGGTCTTTAGGCCCTGATAACATAAAAACATCTAGGAAGGGTGGAAGTACTGTTTGTGAAAGGAGCACAAGCTATGCCATGAGCAGAAGTTTAACAAATTAGCAACTCAACATATTCATAGAAGCAGCCTTTTCATAACTATATGTATCATTAGAGGAAGTGTGTCACAAGAAGAGAGCTGTTGCACAAGGTCAGTTTAAAATCCATCTACCCAAAGACCCCATCTCCAACAGCAGCCCAAAACATAGGAAGAGTTTAAGAACAGTGTAGCATATATAAAATTCCCATGAAGATTCACCCAGCCTCCATCCATTTGCATTTCAGTAGTCTTCTGTCCTGAGCACAGTTTCTGGATTGCCCCGTAGCCTTCCCTTCCTTGACTTTGTCCTTGGGTGCCTTATCTGCTGCTTTGCCACCTCTGACATCCTGGGGCAAGGAGGCCCACTGCTAACTGCTCGTGGTTTGAATCCACAGGACAGACACTGGTGGAGAATTTCATAGAATCATAGAATAGAATCATAGAATCATTTAGGTTGGAAAAGCCCTTTAAGATCATCAAGTCCAACCGTTAACCTAGCACTGCCAAGTCCACCACTAAACCATGTCCCTAAGCACCACGTCTACACGTCTTTTAAATACCTCCAGGGATGGTCACTCAACCACTTCCCTGGGCAGCCTGTTCCAATGCTTGACAACCCTTTTGGTGAAGAAAGTTTTCCTAATATCCAATCTAAATCTCCCCTGGCACAACGTGAGGCCGTTTCCTCTTGTCCTATCACTTGTTACTTGGGAGAAGAGACCGACAGCACCTCGCTACAACCTCCTTTCAGGTAGTTGTAGAGAGCGATGAGGTCTCCCCTCAGCCTCCTTCTCTCCAGGCTAAACAACCCCAGTTCCCTCAGCCACTCCTCATAAGACTTGTTCTCCAGACCCCTCACCAGCTTCGTTGCCCTTCTCCGGACACACTCTAGCACCTCAATGTCCTTCTTGTAGTGAGGGGCCCAAAACTGAACACAGTATTCGAGGTGCGGCCTCACCAGTGCCGAGTACAGGGGGATCCCTGTAATGGCCCACTGCACACAGGTCAAGTTGTGTCAATTAAAAAGAAATTAAAGACAGAAGGAATATCACCATCACTTGCTCATGACAAAACCACATTCTTCTTTCACCATCCATCTCTACAGAGCAGATAAGACCAAATGTAGTCCACATGGCCAGATGCAGCATTGGGGCATTTTAACTAATTGTTGAATTATAACATTAATCCTCACATCAGGTAGCTGTCAGGATACTTTACTGTGCATTTGGACAGTATTACTATTTCTAATAATTTCTTCGGAGAGATGAGCAAGATTTTCCTCATCTTGAGCTGTCTTTGGTCTTCTTTTCTCAGCATTATTTTGTGCCTACTCTGGAGCAGCTCTTGCTAATGCCCTATCTGTGGTAAGTTTGAGGGTTTTTTTATGGGGCTTTGGTTTGTTTGTTTTAACTTATTCTGATTTGTTATGATATAATGCTAAGGAAGTACCCCAAAATTCTCCATGTCAGTTTTGACAGCACTGGAATGAGAATGCTGCAGCCAATGGCAGATCTTGCACAGATTCTCTGTCAGTTGAATTGTGCACATGCAGACTCTGCAGCTGATAATAAGATCTTAAAGACTTTGGAGCATGTCATCCACAGCAGGATTGTGCATGTATATGTGAATTCCAGCAGCAGCAGGCGGTTTGAGATGCAACACTTTGTTGCAGGCAATATTTTTGAACAATTTCCAATGGTCTAAATTTTTCCTTGCTTCTCCCGAGATCTTTCTCCCACCCTACCCACAGATACTATTTAAGTTTGATCTGGATATGAGAACTAAAATGGGGAGGGGGAGACTGTTCTCTTAAATACAAAATCGTCTTATCTCGACAGATCAACAAAGAGGTGAAACCAGAAATGCCAAGCTTTGTTTCTTCTTTAAGATCTGAGAGATTAAAGCAAAACCATATTTTAATAAAATTGATTTAGTAACTTAAAAGAAAAAAAATGCAGAACTAGTGGCTTCATGCATTAAATATATTCATCTGGCATCCACTCAGTACCGTGTAGGTCCCTGCAGATGGGGGGCACCTACCCCTTTGTTAAGCACACCTGCTTTTGGGATGCATCAGAAAAAAAGAACATTTACATTTTCTTCTTGTGATCTGGTTTTTGGCAGACCTCAAGTCAGTCAAGAGGTGGGGTCACAGAGCAGGCCTGAGGGTTGGATGCGATGCCAGTAATACATGGGCACTGAGGACAGTCAATATGTGTAGCTAGTACTCTCAGTATGTGACATTTTACAGGACAGTGAGGGTAGGATTCAGCTCATTTATTAGAGAATTTTAATGTCCACATGTGAGCTAGATGTCTTGGTTTTCATTACAGTCAGCAGAGCTCTGGACCCTGATTCAGTTGCTTCAATATTGGTGCCAAGTGCCATTCTGGCCAACAGCTGCATCTCCAAAAGGTCTGAGGTCTCCAGTGTGGGATGCCTTACGTAGCCCCGTACAGTTCAGATAAACTAGATCCCTCTGTGTGAGCCACTGAATTGACGTTTGGTAGCAGAGGAGCTTCCCAGACCTCCAGTGACCAGCAGGAACCTAGCTCACATGTAGACCTCGTGTAGGCACTTGCATCTGGGCATCCTCCTCTGGATCCGAAGGGGGGATCCTGTACGGGGCATTTCAGGAAGGCATGTCCTATGTCACACTGTCCTCAGGGCAAGCACAGGGTCTCCCTGCTTCTCAAATGCAAGAGGCAGAAGTAAGCAAAGGGAACATGCAAAAAGAGGTATCAAAATGGACCTGTCTGTCCTTTCCCGTTCCAGCTTGGGCTGCCACTCTGCACCTGGCCTTTCTGCTTCTCCGCGCTTCTCTTTTTGCTGATAAATTCAGGCAACCCAGCCATCTACAAAATCCCCCTCTGCAAAGTCACCTACCCAGAAGCCAACCGGATCTACTACCTGAGAATGAAGAGAAGAGCATCAGAGAGCAGGAGAGAAGAGCAGAAACGAAAGGAGCAGAAACCCTCTGGTGACTCAAAAACAAGCACAGGAGGCACCCCCCTGTGCACCCCCAAAAACCGCCATGCTTACTGATTTCAAATAGAATCATAGAATCATAGAATCATTAAGGTTGGAAGAGACCTCCAAGATCATCGAGTCCAACCGTCAACCCAACACCACCATGCCCACTAAACCATGTCCCTAAGCGCCTCATCTCCCCGTCTTTTAAATACTTCCAGGGATGGTGACTCAACCACTTCCCTGGGCAGTCTGTTCCAATGTTTAAC